TTCCTGATATGATGGGTTTGTTGTATTAGTACGAAAAGAAGAAAAGCTTTGGTGAAAGACCTCTGAATTTAAGATAAAAGATCAACTTCATTGATCACATGCAGGGAAATTGAAGCGGCACAGCAGCAGCAATACAATAAAATGTGAATTCCTGGATAATAAATGTTCACCAATCCAGCAATTTTCTGTAGTGGATAGGAACTATAAAGTTTAGGATATTCACACAAATACAGTGAGGAGACAAGGAAGTTGTAATAAAAAAAGAAATACAAAAATGGCACCTGAGGTAACAGAAGTGTTTTGTGTCGGCAGATACAGTAACAGTGTTAAATACAGTTATTGCACTTATTTAAGCAGAAACAAAGTGTGTGTCTCAAATTCAGGATGTTAGCAATTGAGTAGTGTTAACAACTTACTGTCCAGTAGTCATGTTGGCCCAATGTATCTATTAAAATAACCAAACTATAGCCTTAGTAAAATGAGGACATTTTTCTGGCGCTTGAACTGTTTTTACTTATTTCTGACAACAAAGTCACTAAAAACTGAAGCTCAAATGTGAGAAAATAAGGAATCTATCAATATAACCACCGAGCACAAGAATGTTCTCAGAGCCAGCTCAATAAAACTCAGCGTACAATATGGCCCACCGTGAAATGTTCAACGGCGTAATGAAGAAGCTAATGAGGGGGATCAAGATGGCTGCAGAGCCAATAAATCAACACAACTGTGCCTACAATGATACGGGAGCAATAAGTAACGCTGGTCAGGGAGCAGAGGGGGGAGGGGTGGATTGGGTAAGGACTGAAGGGGGGAGGGGGGACAGACTTGGGGGTCGACGCTGCAAGCCAATGTCAAGAGCACATTGATGATATTTTATGTCTTCTGAAAAAGAAGAGCTTCGTTTTACATGCAGAAAATGACTTATTTTGAAACATGAACATGAAATAATTCAGTAAAATCTTTCAAATGAATCCATAATAACTATGGTAATTATTGCAATTAATAAAAAATCCATTTGACACTTCTCTAAAGGAAATCAATCCTCTGATGCCCGCTGAAGTGTCTGACAATCGATACGACTTTGCACTGATCAGCAGTTAGTGAAGAGGATTCCCTCGTGTAAGTATGTTGAAGTGGAAAAGTCGGTCAACGCTTCAGCTAAGAGACACCTTAGGAGGCACCTCGACAGCACATTTTGAAATCATTTAAGAATAAATTGTCCTCACGCTGAGATCAGAAGACAATTCGCCGCTGTTGTCATTAGTGAATCAATGTTTATGAATTATGAAACAGAAAATGTCGATGTTTTAGCATTCAGTAAAGTGAAACAGAGAGTGGCCATTACTGAAGGTTCTATGTTATAATAATGAGTATAACATTGTGTGTTGCTGCTAGCATGATACAAGGCTGAAAGGTATGAAACAAGTTTTTTTGGTGCAAAAACGTTGACATTCAACGTATCCATCGTTTGCAGAAACGTAAGACTTTGCACATACAGTATGCGTTGTACAGTCACAGGCCTACTGCCATGAATAGACTTCATGAATGCTAATGTCAGTGGAGGCTAATGCCTAATGCCTCCAGAAGCACCGGGGAGTGCCCAGGGGAGGGATTGGCAGAGTCAAACTCACTCAATGCACGGGGACATGCCCACTGGGGATTTGCCTCTACCCGTGCAATCCCCTCAGTGATAGCTGAGCTGATACACCACAATAATACCATTAAATAGATGCACTGGCAGAGCCGGATGCCATGCCCAGTCGACCCTCCAATCAAGAGCAAAGGCAAACAGACACAGTATGATAGTATGTGGAGGTTGCCAAGTGAAAATAATGAGTTGTTATCAGTATTTGTAGAGAGAACATATTATATCCCATCAAGAGTTCAATTAAATGCCCAGACCATGTATAGAAGAAATACATCATTCCTTAAATTTGAATAACAATAGAGGCCATCTTTGCCGGGTGCTGCAGGCAGCTTACATTGTGCTCTGTGTTTGGTTTGGGCCACGACCAGTGTATTTACATAATCTGAATTAAATGTAAATCAAGCTGTTTCATCTCTGTCTCCCCGGTATACGAGGGGTTAAAGTGTGTGCTCAAAAACCTCACCCCTCAGCAGGGGGGGAAAAGTCTTCATTGTTGAGAAATCTGGAGTTCAAGGCCTGAAGCATCTTATTTTCGGCAAATCTCTGCCTTTTAAAAAATGTACCCCTGTTGCCCCCTGAAGGAGAAAGGGTAGCCAGTTTGTATTTATGATACAATTCACGTAAATGTGGCTGTTTGGCCTTAATCCTTGCCTAATTAAGTGCCCGTCTGCTGAAGCAGACTGCTAAGGGCCAAAGCATAATACCTGTCGAATTATGGGAACAGCTGGAGCAGCCTGTCTGTCAGCAGATCAGCTCCACTTATTATCCTGCTTTATCGAGAGGGTAAAACAGAGACTCTCAACTAGTACCATGGCCATCTTTATTTCTGTCTCCATTCTTCCCCAATTACGCTCTGCCGTATGTTATGGCTCCACATCCATGTGTGGTTCATAATTGTTTGAAATATGGTGCTTTTTTATTTGACGATGTGTGGGTCTGCTGTCCGTCTGAAAGCTTCTCTTCCTGCTGCAGAAGCCAGAAAAATCTAAACATGCATTCATTAATGAAAACTTCATCAAATTAACATTCAAATCATTACAGAATGCATAATTAATAAGGCAGAGCTGTTTGCCAGGGGGGAGTTTAATTAATCAAACAATCATAATTTTAATAGTTTGCATGTGGAGGTGAAAAAGAAAAAATATTACTGTGATGCTCCGCTGTTTCTCTCCCCTTTGATTCAACTTCAAAGATGCAGAGCCGTACTGTAGCATCACTCGGTTCTAGATTCGTAAATATGCAGCATTGAGCCAAAAGTGTTGTTATTTGTGAATGCTGTGACCTACATAGTAACATTTACAATTCTCCCCCCTGTGATCAGCAGCTAATCAGGGCGGCCCACTTAAGCACTTCAGCAGCTTCAGTGTGATGGCAGAAAAAAATTCTGTTTCTGTCAAACATGAATAACACAAAACTGATTGACAGGGCAGAGATTATTTTTTAATTATCAATGACATTTTATAGAAAACAGAAAAAGTTGAAGTTTAAAAAACTGAATCCACTTTGTGTTACAATAAATCTTCAATTTGAAAAGCTTCTTTCTTTATGTGTACATCTGTGTGAGTTCTCCTGAAAGTAATCTGAATAATGTCACCAATAAAAAAAGGAAATAAATACATTAAATCAGGCACTTCCATTTGAGGCATCGCTTTGGCTGTACCGCCACCTGCTGGACACTCAGAGTCGGTGCTGGTGGATTCATCAGCGAAACATTAAGTAGTGCGTTGTTATGTCCCGCCCTTGGGCAGCCCTTATGGGCAGGATTTATTAACATGGAAACATAACATCTTTAAGCACTTCCTCCCCAGGACACGTGCACCTGGCAGAGCCGTTACAAACGTCATGCGGATCATCCTTTGCTCAGGTTTCACTTTTGCTCAATTTATGTAAGCAAATATCAAAAGACCCGTTCAAATCATTTCAGCTGCATTTATTTTGTCAGTGCCCTAAAAAACAACTTATTGATGTACAAAACGGAAGAAATGAAGATTATATCACTTTACTGCAGTTGCATTACTGGCAAAGGGAGATTGTTGAATCAGCTCCATATGGAAATCACTTTGACGGTATACACATGTGACTGTAATTTGAGAAGTTGAGGCAAAAAAGCATTTCAGTCACTGTAACAGGTAACTATGGGCAGCAGTGACACAAGTTGTTGTCAATGTTTATTGCAGCTGTGTTTTGTGCACACAGGAAAGACAAATGGCAGCTCAGTGTTGGATCAGTGTAAGGCAAGGCAAGTTTGTTGGTGTAGCGCCTTTCAATTACATGGCACTTCAAAGTGTGCTTTATATACTGCATAAAAAAGCCTGAAGACAAGATATACAAGGCAATAAGTGTGTGTGAGTGAGTGAGTGTGTGTGTGTGTGTGTGTGTGTGTGTGTGTGTGTGTG